GTACCTTAAAACCCTTAAGTGGTTATTTTATATTATTCTCTATTGTCTCTTTTTATTGATTATTTAAATTATCATGATTTCAGCCTGTAACTTTAATACCACAGATTCCTCCAAGTATTGGCGGCCCTGATGGACAACAATCTACCGGTGGTCCTACCAATGGTAATGCTCAACAGGTTTCCTCAAATAATAAACGAAAAAGTAATCAAAACATGGGTGCTCAACTACCAGGATCCCGCGCTCCGATAAACAAAGGTTCGATTAGTAGTAGTAATCAGACATTAGGTGACATGGATCCAGAGACAGTCCCGGCTCAACTAAAAAAAGAAGGTGGTGATTGGTTTGCAATGTATGTATTCTTTTTTTTTATATTCCTTATTAGAATTTTATTTACATTATTTGCATTACTTACATTATTTATATGATAATTCTTTTTTTATATAAAAAAGTTTTAATCCTAAAGTACAACGAGCACTTGACGTTGATCTTTTCCATACATTGGAACATAATAGGTAAATCATAAAAATGGTTATATATTTTATTTTGTTTCCTTAATTATGATTACATGATTACTTATTAATTTATTTGTAATTTTATTAGTGTCGTATGTTGTGTCAAATTTAGTTCGGATGGGAAATATCTTGCCACTGGTTGTAATCGAAGTGCTCAAATTTATGATGTAGTAAATGGACAAAAATTATTGTAAGCTCCAGTTATTCCACCTAAAAAAAAAAAAAAAAAAAATTATTATTATTATTTAATCGATTATTAATTTATTGGCAACTTTTTTTTCAATTTCAATTCATAAAGCGTTCTTGATGATAATAATGTGGACAAAACTGGTGATTTATATATCAGGAGTGTATGTTTCAGTCCTGATGGAAAATATTTGGCTACAGGTGCTGAAGATAAACAAATTAGGGTAAGCAATGGATAAGTAAATAACTAATAAGCATAATTGATAAATGTTAAATTCTTGATATATAAATTTTCTTTATCTTTCAATTTTTCTTTTAGATTTGGGATATTCAAAAACAGACTATTAGATCACTTTTTCCAGGTCATGAACAAGATATTTATTCACTTGACTTTTCACGTGATGGCCGTTTAATTGTGTCCGGTTCTGGAGATAAAACTGCTCGCGTTTGGGATATGGTTACTGGTGAATTATTGTATAAACTCTCAATTGATGAACCAAGTCAAAAAGATGCTGGTGTAACTAGTGTAGCAATTAGCCCTGATGGTTATTACGTCGCAGCTGGATCATTAGATAAAATAGTACGCGTCTGGGACGCACGAACAGGCTATCTTCTTGAACGTTTGGAAGGACACAAAGATAGTGTTTATTCTGTTGCCTTTGCACCTGATGGTAAAACGTTAGTTTCTGGAAGTTTGGATAAAACTTTGAAATTATGGGATATGAGCCATCCGGGAAGAAATTCTGGTGCCGGATCTAGTCAAAAGAATTCTGCAAAGATGACTTTCAACGGACACAAAGTATATTTTCATTATTTTAGATTCTTTTTTTAAATTTGGTGAATTATGCATCATTAACATTTTTATGTAAAAATAGGATTTCGTTTTATCCGTTGCTGTCTCCCCTGATGGTCGTTGGGTAGTTTCAGGATCTAAAGATCGTGGTGTACAATTTTGGGACCCAATTACCGCACAAACTCAATTTATGTTACAAGGTCATAAAAATTCAGGTATATATACTAAATGTTACCGTATTTTCGCGAAATAACGCGAAAGGGTGTAATTTCAAATTTTGGCCAAATTATGCTTAATTCGGGCCATTGTTTCAGCACCTGGGTATTATTACGCGAAAATATGGATAACTTTATTTGGGTCCTAGAATCTTTAATTGGAATTATGTATATTTTTTGCTCATTTTATTATTTTACATTATTTTGCTATTTTAGTAATTTCGGTAGCCTTAAGTCCGGCTTTAAGCGGCCCAACTGGCAAGCTTTTCGCTACTGGGTCTGGTGATTGTCGAGCGCGTATATGGCGATATTATGATGATCAATAAGATTTTAAGACAACTAATTTTTTTTAGCAATTTATTGTTTCTCTTTTGCATTATTTCTTAGTTTTTTATTTGCAGAATTTAAGTATAGAAAATAATCGAACTAGTGGTCATATTACAATTTTCTTAAGGTGATGGTTGGATTTAAACAATGATAAGTTTTAATACGCATGTTCGAATAATATGTTGACAAGTGTAGTTTCTTTCTATACTTTATATTTTATTTTTTTTTTATTTTTTTTTTTTTTTTGTAGATGCTTCATGTTTTTTTGGATTGGTGAAGAATAAGTTTTTTTACTCCGATTATGTATGGAATTTTTTTCATCCTTTTGTACAAATGTTTTTTTTTTCAAACAACGTTACAAACTTGGTTTGCGGAAAAATATAAATATTTTTTTTACTTAATGATTTTCAACATTATGATGTGGTGACTAAAAATTGTTTTAAATGAATTTAATTCCATTGATTTACTGTATAAAGTGAATGTTTTTTAATAATAATAATAAATAAATAAAAATAAATCGTTCGCTATGACGCGTTATTTTCTTGCACGTTTATTTTAATTTTGTAATATGTTAAATATGCAAGTAGTAATTAGGATAGAAGGATTTGGGTGACAAACAAAATTCCGACAAGGTACAATTTAGCCCGCATTAGGCTAGCATTGGCTATAACTTCAGTCAATTTTTTTTTCAGGATTGTCGGGAATTTTGACCTGAACCTATGTAGATCACCCACAAAAAATTTTCCGGCACGTGAACGTGTTTCGCAAAAAAAATCGCTTATATCTCCGAAATCTATTAATAAAATTACCTTTTATCTACTAATTTTATTATAAAATGCTAACCATAACCAGGGTACATCTGAGTATCCAACAGCTTACATAATTTACATAATTTACATAATTTACATAATGTTTAATGATGATCTAAGCATGTTTGGCCAATCAAATTTGATCAGAAAAGCAAGACTGAAAAATATACGACTAATTGATTAACATTGGCATATAAATAATTCATATGATGACGCAGTATTTTTAACGCTTTATGATATAATGCCGAATATTAAAATTTTACAAAATGTTATAATATATATTCGGATCAATATTATTTGGTATAAAAGCCAAAAACACTTAAAATTCTTACAATTTAAACAGTTTTAAATCTATACTATATTTGTAATATATAATATTGTACTATTTACTTACTTTTTTGTACTTTTATAGTTAGTTTATTTGCAATTTTTAATATTTGTAGTGCTGTACTTTTGTGTATATATATATTTAAAAAAATATATTATAATATATTTTAAATTATTAATAAATATATATTGCATTTTAAGTAATATTGTTAAATTATATATATTACTAGTATTTAATATCACAATAATTTTTATTATACAGTAAGTAGTAATATAATATAAAAATTAAATATAATATAAATTTTTTTGTTTTTTTTTTTTAAATAAAAAAGTATAATTTAAATTTTACAATATTTATAAATTTACTTTTTAAGTTTTAACAAAAAATTTTTTGCTCTTATTTTTATTTTAGCTTTCAACTCTAATTCTAATCTTAATTAATTTAAATTTATTAATTTTGTACACTCTGCATAGCTGTGTACTCTATAGTAACAAATACAACCAATAATTAGAATTAGAGTTAGAATTAGAGTTAGAGTTAGAATTAAAAAGTTAGAAGTTAAAATTAAATTAGGATTAGAATTAGGATTAATTTAAAAGTTAATAAATTTATAACTATGGTTACTGTAACCACATTCAATAAAGCCAATTAAATTTTAAGATCAGGTGTAATATAAAATTAAAACAAAAACTATTTTTTAAAAAAATCATTAATAACTCAAAAATTTGATTATGAAACTATTTTTTACGTTTTAATAAAAAAATTTCTTGCTAAATTTTGATATAAATTATGCTCTTTTTTTATTCCTAGCCTCACACCAACTACCCTTAGTTGCAAAGTTTTATTTTTATAAAAAAAAAATTGTGATTATTACATTATACCTGATCTTAATTATGGTTATAGTAACCTACAGTTACAAATTTATTAATTCTTAATTTAAAATTAAAATCTAAAGTAATTTCATAAAAGAAGTATTTTTGTTAAAAATATAACAGGAGTTAATTTAGTAAATTTTGAAAATATAATAGAGCTATTTTAATAAAATTTTAAAAAATATAATAAAGTAAATAGCTATACAAGTGTATATATTAAATAAGTCTAATAAATTTTTTTATTTTTTATTTTTTTTGGTT